TGTTGCCTGTGGTCTTGAAGGAAACAGAAATTTGTAGATTCTCTGAACTATGAGTATTATAATTAAAGTCCCATACACATGTCTTAAAAAGTCCTTCAACAAACAATGCCATCATGAAATTTGTAGGCAAATGGATGGAACTAGAAAAAAAAAATCATCCTGAGTGAGGTAACCCAGACCCAGAAAGACAAACATGGTATGTACTCACTCATAGTGGATATTAGACACAAAGCAAAGGATAACCAGGCTACAATCCACAACCCCAGAGACACTAGGTAAAAAGGAGGACCCTGAGAGGGACACACATGGATCACCCCAGGAAGGGGGAATAGTTAAGATTTCCTGGGTAAACTAGGAGGGGAGGTTGTAGAGGGGAGAGGATGGGGAATGGGAACATGAGGGATCGAGATGGGCGAGTTATGGGAGGGAGGGAGAGAAAGGGAAAGCAATGCAAGAGATATCCCTTTATAAAGGGAGCCATTATGGAGTTAGGGAAAAAGTTGGTACTAGGAAAATCCCCAGGAACCCACAAGGACAACCCCAGCTAAGACTCCTAGCAATAGTGGAGAGGGTGCCTGAACTGGCCTCCTCTGTAATCAGATTGGTGACTACCCTAATTGTCATCATAGAACTTTCATCCAGTAACTGATGGAAGCAGATGCGGAGAAGAGAAGGGAGGAGGCATCACAGCAGCAAGTGAGGTCAAGATCATGATGGGGAAAACCACAGAGACAGCTGAGCCAAGTTGGTGGGAGCTCATGGACTCTGGACTGACAGCTAGGGAACCTGTGTGGAACCTAACTAGGCCCTCTGAATGTGAGTGAATGTGGCTTGATCTGTTTGTGGGGCTCCTGGCAGTAGGACCAGGATTTATCCCGGATACATAAACTGGCTTTTTGAAACTACATTCTCTATGGTGGGATACCTTGCACCGACTTTGATGCAGGGGGGACGGGCTTGGTCCTGCCCCAACTTGGTATGCCAGCCTAGGTTGACTCCCCAAGGGAGGTCTTACCCCCTATGAGGAGTGGATAGGGGTGGGGTGGGTGGGAGATGGCGGGGGATTGAGAGAAAGGAAGGGATAGGGAACTGTGGTTGGTATGTAAAATGAAAAAAATTTAAATAAAAATAATCAAACATGAATTGTGTGGGGGATTTGATGATGGGGGATATGGGGGGATGGGAGAATTGAATAGGGGATATGCAGGGCATATATGATCATATTTCTTTGTACACATATATGAAATTCTCAAAAATAAACATTTTTAAAGGTAAAAAAGAAGAAAAGAAAAGCAGCTCTAAGCCAATCACAGTATGTGGCAGGTCCTGAAAAGGAAAGGATTCTGAAGCCTTCTGTGTTCTGAATGACAGACAGCACAGGGTGGGTGAGCTAAGGGTAAGGTCTCCATTCACGACTACAGAGGAATGACGAAAAGAGTGTGGTACTACAGACCAGACCTGAGGGAGACGTCACATGCCAGCATGAAGCTCAGGCTCTTGCTGTATTTCCTGAAGATGAGGAGAGAGAAGAAGATCTGAGAGCTTGGTGGAGCCCTGACTGGATCCCTGAGCTCTACCTTCAGTGAGAGAGTGTCTCAAAACCTAAGATGGAGAGCAAAGGAAGGAGACACCAGACACTGATCTCTGGCCTCCATCTGCATGCATACGTACATGAACATGCGTAATGCTATACACACACACACACACACACACACACACACACACATACACACACACACAGAGAGAGAGAGAGAGAGAGAGAGAGAGAGAGAGAGAGAGAGAGCAACTTAATTATATTAAAAATAAAGGACTTGGATAGACACTTCTCAATGTAAGAAAGATACACAGCAACAGGCAAGTAAAAATATAAAGTTCAACGTTACTGATGATCAGGCAAGCACACTCTAACTCCAGTGACATGTGACTTCCACCAGCTAGAACGGTGTTGTAGAAGGAGGTAAAGAGGGCTGGAGTGATGGCTCAGTAGCAAGATCATGAACTTTTTGCAACGGACCCAAGTTTGGTTCCCAGCACCTACACAGGGTGGCTCACAACCACCTGGAATTCAGCTCCGGGGGATCTGACACCTTCCTCTGGTCTCCGTGAGCA